GCGCGGCCGGGCGGCGGGGCGAACAAAGGACCCCGCGGAGTGGGGGGGTGGGGAGCGCGTCTCCTTCCTTTCTCCCCCCCTCCCTCCACACACACGCACAGGTGTGGAACAATTAAAATATAAAAAATAAAACGACAATGAATGTCTCTTCTGCCCTGCCCTCCTGGTGGAACAGAAAGGCCTCGAGGGGAGGTAAAGGAAGGACTTTTCCACCCATGGCAAAGATGCACATGGCTGGCAAAAATGGTTTTTTGGAGGAAAGGAAGAAAGACACCCCCTTAGCCCCCACCCCATGGGGCGTTCCCCCTTTTGTCGTGGGGGGGGACGACCTGTTCGAAGAGGGGCCCTGGAACATTCGGAGCTTTTAAGATATCCAAAAAAACAACCATCCTTTTTCTTGGGTTCAGTCTTAGTCCATTAAGAGGCTTCTGTCAATCTTGTGTGTTGCACTTGAGAATCATTCCTACGCTTTTCAGAGCCAGAAGAGGCTGGAGCTGCTGAAGGTGGAGACTTCCGACTTCCGTGGGCCAGGCCAGCTCCCCTGCTCTCCCTTCTTTTATCATTAAAGCCGGGACGCCCTTCAGAGAGACGGCAGCAGATCAATTAGAGGGCAGCGGTTTGTGAAAGAGGAGGCCTGAGCACCCAAGGAAACCTCCCTGGCTATCGTGGCCAAACCCCAAATGCCACTCCCCCCCCAGTACATCCAACATAAATGCATTTAATCAGACACCAAATTGCCAGCCAATTCCATAAGTCCGCTCTACTTGGGACTGCTAGAGCAAGTTAGCTGGCTAACTCTCCCAACACTCAATGTGGGCTAGCTGCTTGGGCAAAGGGGTCTTCAGAGGGCTGTGCCAGAGATGGGCGAGCACTGGATGAAAAAGACAAAAGGCTTTAAAACCAGGCCGCCGGCCTGTGGCTGGTTGAAGCCCTTTCTCTGCTCACTTCGGCGTGGCACGCAGGCTGGAACCCGGGGCGGCAGTAATTAGTGGGAGCAATTAATGGAACGTTCCAGGCCTGCAGTGTGTCATTATCTGTTCCCTGCTCTGCAGATGCGTGGGGTGAGGTTTGGAAAGATACTGGCGTTTCGGAGCCTACACAGGAAATCTCGCAACTTGCCCTGGTTTGGGATGGAAAGGAAAAAGGAGGGACGTGGAAGCAGGTCAGTGTCACATATTCTGGATAAAAAGCTAGGCATAGTCTTTGAACTTTGTGCATCTGAAGGACTGACCCAAGCCTCTCTTTTTTTTTGAGTGTCACATATTCTGGATAAAAAGCTAGGTGTAGTCTTTGAACTCTGTCCATCTGAAGGAATGACCCAAGCCTTTTTTTTCCCTCTATGCTATACAGGGTGAATTTTGAGTTGTAGGCAGGACTGATCGACTCTCCCCGAATATATAGGCAACTGGATCGATTCCGATCCACAAATGAAGAGCACATCTTTTGTAAAGATAATGGCTCTTAATTGCCCATTCGAAACTAAACCACGCTCAAACATGAAAACGGGAAACTGGGAGCAATATACTGTTCTGGGGAAACCCTCTTTTCTCCCAACTGTTGTGAGGGTTGCAGCTAAACTCAGGAAAGAAAAGAAAAACAGAGAGGGGGGGGGTAAATCCAGCAATGTTGCAGTCCCTGCTAGGCAAAAAGTCCAGAGGTTTTGATCCCGTGGACTCAGGCTCCAGAATAGCACTGCCACATGCACACACTCAAGAAAAGTCAAAAACGCAGGCAGCTGGATTGATTCGTGTCCATAAATCAGTCCCGGAAATTTTATTGTCCTCAGGAGCGGGTCTTGTGTAAAGCTAACAGGCCTTCGTTACCTGTTTAAGATCAAAGCCACAGCAGCATGCTTGGTGTTTCAACAATGATACCTCACCACTGTCTCTGGATGCCAAGAAAGCCCCTATTTTTGAGGAGCTAAGCTCAGAGAGAGCAGGAAGAGATGAATGGCAGGTGAGGTCATCCCCTTTGCTAATTAGCAAGTCCATAATTGCAAACAAAGCAAATAATACTTTCAATAAATTTTGGGCTGTTTATTATGCAACTTAAGGTTTCTGAACAGAGCGGAAGCCCTGCTTTAAGACGCTTTCACAATAGAAACGGTTGGCAAAAACATCTGCCTTTATAGGTGTTTAACACCTTTGGCATGAAAGGAACTCACCCTTCTGTTTTAAGCCCAAATGAGATGTGGTTTCTGGGGACGCCCACAGCTTCTTGAACCACTTTGTCTCTCACCATGACAAAGAAAACATTGCTGCGATAAGTACCGAGGCACGTGGCCAGGACGCCCGGGTGTGTCCGGGTGACTTTGTGCTGCGATCTAAATATGGGAAGGAAAACAAAACAAAAAAAAAACTTGGACGTATTTCAAATGATCGAGAGAGACGCCCTTGTGTGGCAGCAGGTCTTAAAGGAACCGCAGTGAGGTGTTGATGTGCAAACGGTGAACCTATTAGGGCCATGGATCGAAGCGGGGTGGGGGGGATGGAGGAAATCCTACTGGTTAATTTTGAAGCCCTGATTTTGCTCTCCATCCTGGCCATTCGGCTCTGTCCAAAACTCAGGCAAGATGAATCTCTGGGGGAAAAAAATGTCTTAACTGTTAGTGCAGTACGACAACAGAACCCACAGCCTCAGGAGGTGGTGAGTGCACCAACGCTGGGGGCATTCAAGAGAAGATGGGACTCCCGTCTGTCCGATCTGCTCTGACGTGGATTCCTGCATTGATCGAGGGCCCCTTCCAACTCGCAGGATTCTGTGATTCAAAGATTTTGTGCAGCTGAACAGTCCAGGACAGGATTGGAATCCTTAACTGCAACAATCAGCAATATCATGGATCCAGGGAGTGCAGAGCTGGACCACAAGGATGGGGAATTTTTAACCAGCCGGAACAGTCGCTTTATCTGAGATTTCCTTCTCCGTTTGTGGAAGGAGCAAGGTCTGGATATTCCCAGCAATAGGTGGTTCTTCTGTGCCATCCTGTCGGAACTGATTTACAGTGACCTTAATAGGGCTGACAAGGTAAGTAAAGGTATTTAAGGAATGGTTTTACCAATTCCTCTCCCCCAGTGAGTTTCCATGGCTGAGTGGGGGGATTTGAACCCAGACCTTCATGACCCTGTTGCCGCTATTGTGATGCAAGCTATTTTGGTGAGGTGGGGTCTTGAGTGGGCAGTTAGAATCATTCACTGCAGGAATGCCCCACTTTTGATAGAGAAGAGAAGAAGCAGAAGGGGTTTGTTGCTAGAGATCAAGTCAACTGCTTGCATCTGGGGAATAGTGATGGAAGAGGTGGCAGAGCTGGCTAGGTTGACTCTTAAACAGTGGGCCTCTTACCTATTGAACTTTTAGGTTTGTTTTGTCCGTTTTCGGAGAACAACTTTTAAACTTTTTTTAAAAAACAGCAGCCATGCAGGCTGGACAATATCTGGGAGCAGTGAGTCCCAAAGAACCCTAAAACTGCTAAGATCTAAATTCATCGCCATGCCAATGTAGATTCGTGCCTGCAAATGGAGAAACGATGATCCTGTTGGAACCTACCTGGCATTTTGAATTTCTTTGCACATCCTCACGCCTTGTCACCCCCCGGGGAAGGGCGCCTTGCTCTGCCAAACCCGCTATCATCTTTGCTCATCCATTTACATGTTTGCTGCTGGAAAGTTCGGAGTGGGACAGAAGCCCATTTCCCGAAAGAGCTGGAAAGTTGCCACCGCTATAGCCTCTTCCTCCGAAGGCACCCATAAGTGGCTATTGTTTTTCATTTTCTGATAAAACGGTGAGAAGTTGGTGAAAGGTTTTGGAACCTCTTCCTTGCAGCTTAGGAGCAAGCTAGCTAGCTAGCTAGCCAGCGAGAACTAAATATAGGTCTCTGTGGTTAACATCTAGCCTGGCAATGAGAAGAGAAACCCCAAACGGGAGAGGAGACAGAAGGCAAAAGAATGACGCTTTCTGGTTCCCAACACTGACAAGCAAAATGTCCACAGAGAAACCCATCAAAATGT